GGTCGAGGCGGCGGTGGCCGGGAGCGGCCACTGCACTCCAGTCTGGGCAACAGAGGGAGACTCCAACTCAAAAATTAATAATAAAAATAAAAACCTCCAATCTAGCCGGGCTCGGTGGATCAAGCCTGTAATCCCAGCACTTTGGGAGGTGGAGATGAGAGGACTGTCTGAGCTCAGGGGTTCAAGACCAGCCTGAGCAACATGGCAAGACCTTATCTCTACAATAAATAAAAAAATTAGCCAAGCATGGTGGCACATGCCTGTGGTTCCAGCTACTTGGAAGGCTGAGGTGGAAGGATCACCAGAGCCCAGCAGGTTGAGGCTGCAGTGGCCAGGAGCAGTCACTGCACTCCAGTCTGGGTGACGGAGTGAGATGCCAACTCAAAAAAAAAAATTAAAATTAGAAAAATTAAACTCTCCAATCTAGAAGAGTCTCCATGCCCCGCTCAACCTGCCAAGACCCTGTCCACCTCGTCTTCAGCTTCATCTCAGCTCCGCCCACTCCCTGTGCCCCGGGCGCACAGACCTCCTCTCTGCTCCTCAAATAAGTCTGGCTCTTCCCAGGTTTGGAATCTTGGCATTGCCGGTCCCTTGGCCTGAGACCAGCTCTTTACTCTTCTTCCCCTAGGAAGTCTTACAGCCAGCTCCCCTCCACCCTTTTTGGGATCAGCTCAAACGCCCTCTCCTCAGGAAAGCCCTCCTTGACCACTCTATCCAAAGTGCCCCACCCTGTCCTCCTAGCACAGCGTTACTGTGTTGTCCTCAGACCAGCAGCATCAGCACCTCCCTGGAGCTTGTCAGGCACACTCCCGGGACTCCGCCCGGCCTACCTGTCTCTGGGAATGGGGACCTAGAAGCCTACAGTAAGCCCTCCAGGTAAGTCACAGGCACTGTCCAGTCTGCCCGCCACTGGAGAATATTCCATTGATTCTCTAATAGCCATCGCTCCAGGAAGCAGGCCCCTCCGCTGTCCTGGAGACCACTACGCCTCCAACTCCCAGGAAAGCGCCCAGCCCTCAGTGGCCCCATGCTCAGCAGCAGCCAGACGAGACAGGGCAGGGTGGGGTGTAGAGGGCGGAGTCGTGCAGGGCCCGGGGTCCTGGAGGGCCAAGCAGAGCCATGCAGAAGAGAGGGGCCTCCGGGTGGGCAAGCGTTCACAGGCAAAAAGGAAGTGGAGCCAACTGGGAGGCACCAGGTGGCAGGTCCTTTCAGCAGCAGGTGGTTGGTTACCTGACTCGGTCCCTCCCAGGCAGGGCAGCGTGTGGGGCGGAAAGGGTGGGGGGGGTCAGTGCAGCCCTGGGTGCTCCTGCGGGCCGGGGGGAGGGGACCCGGGCACCCACCTGGCTCTCGACAAGCATGGCCATGTCCATGAACATGTCGTGCAGCTCACGGATGCTGTTCTCCAGCTTGATGATCTCACTGTGCCGCGTCTCGATCTCGCTCAGAGCCTGCTTCGAGATGCTGGAGTCCATGATGATCTGGGGGGGGAGCAGGGAGCTGGGACCCCGAGGCCCGTGGAGGGTGGGCAGAGCTGCTCCGGAAGCGGAGCCTCCGGCTTCCTAGTCACAGCCCTACTGCCCACCAGCTGTCACCTGCTCTCTCTGTGCTCCAATTTCCGGCCTGTAACACGGGGCTCATCATACTCCCCACCTGTGCCGCCACGCAGTAGGTGCGCGGCAGGCGACAGCTCCTGCTGCCATTGTTTTCGCAGAGCCCAAGTGGACTGCCCCACGGACCCCTGCCTTTCTCCCATCCCCTCCCCCACACGAAATGTGTCTGCCCCTCCCCTCTTTCTGGGAGCCCACACCCCCAAGCCTGCCTCCCATACCTGTGTGCCGCCTCCTTCGGGAAGCACCCCTGCTCTTTAAGGCACAGGCCTCACTTGAATATAGACAGCCAAGTCCTCAACCTTTCCTCCCCAGAAGGGGAAATCGGTCCTGAGGTCGATGGGAGGAGGCCCTGGCCTTTGGCAAACGTTCACAGGCAGAAAGGAAATGGATCCAACTGGGAGGCCCCAGGTGATGGGGTCTTGATTCCACCTTTGCCGCTGACACCAATGGGACCTTAGCCTGGTCCCTTCCGCTCTCTGGGGCTTGCCCTTGTCTAAGATCTGCCGCACAGGGTGGCTGTGTCCAGATACTGCCCTGACCTAGGAGTCGGGGACGGGGGGAGCCATGGTAGGTTTGTCATGGTAGAAGGGAGGGGCCCACACTGACCCCGGAGGCAAAGATGGCAGGGTTCCCGCTCTCCAGCATGTCCTCCAGCTCCTCGCTGGTCGTGGTCCGCCCGGCTGCAAGCAAGCAGGGAGCGGGGTCAGGAAAGCCCAGCGGCAGCCCTGGCCCCAACCCCTCCAGCCCTGCCGGGGCAACCCCTCCGCTCACTGATCTCCAGCTGCCTCTGGATGCGGCCCTTGCAGCGCTCGCGGTAGTCAGACTGCGTCGCGTTGTATTCCGACATGACCTCCACAAACTTCCGGGACAGCGTGGAGTGCTGGGGGTCCGAGACGGGGGAGCGGGTGTCAGACCCCACAGAGACCCAGCGTCCAGGTGCCCACCGCTCCCAGAGCCCAGGCCCCCACCTACCTGTGTCTTCCGGATCCTCAGGTCCGCTGAGGAGCGGTTCAGGCCTTCCTCCTGCTCGATGCTCTGCTCGATGCCTGGGGGGACACATGGCTGCAGAGATGTAACCTGGCCTTCCCCAGAGGAGGGCTGGGGTCTGTGTGTGGCCTGTGAGTGGCGGGGTCACATGGGAAGCAAAGGAAGACAGCGCCAGGCCTGATGGGGGAGGGGCCACCCAAGGCCCTTCCGGCTGTGATGCTGTGTGCGTGTGTGTGCAAACGCACACCCCCACGGGGCTGCAGGCTCACCATGCACGTGTGTGTGTGTGTGTGTGTGTGTGTGTGCGCACGCGCACACGCGCGTGAATGCGCATCTGCTGTGTGCGGTCTGATGGCTCGGGCCACCCTGTGCCTGGGTACTGCTCCCTTTGTGCTCAGGAAGGCTGTGCACAAAAAGCCAGAGTTGGGAGGATCAGATGGCAGGGCGCGTGGCCTGAGGCCGAGGCATTCACGGGATGTGCACGCCTGTGTCTGTACGAGTGTGCAGGTGCTTTTGGGTGAGACCAAGGAGTGCTGGCCACTTCTTTAACCCTCTTTAGCAGAAGAGAGGAGAGATGCCCAGAGTCGAGCATTCTCTTGACAGACCCTCAGGCGTCTGTGTCCCTAGGCCCAGCCGGGCCTGGCACAAACAGACCTGGCCAAGCAGCCTTGGAGTGAATGGGCACATGCCACCCTCATCCAGGACAGCAAGGTCTAGGATGGGTGAAACCCCGTGGGCTACACGGAGGAAGAAGCAGGCCTAGAGTGCCCCCCACCCCGCAACCACGCCAGCCAAGGCTGGGAGCCCGACTCACTCTTTAACTTGGAACGAACTGTGTTTGCCGTCTTCTTAATGTCGGACATGAGTTCTTCTAGCTCCTCCTTCGTCTCTGGGGAGGGAGGACGGGCGTGTTTAGACCTCCGGGCTCCCCATCGCCTGATGCTCAGGCTTAGCCTCCTGCCGCTGGGCAGACCCTGGTCTCCCCTCTTGCCTCGGCTAAGGCTCTGTCTGTCCCCCAGTTCCGGGCCGGAGCCACACCAGCTGCAGCCTCACCCCTCTTGCGCGCCCTCCTCTTTCTCTGGCATCCCCACCCCCTGCAGATAACAGATGGGTCTAAATTTAAGGCAGAAATAATTGTGGAGCAGCTGGCGATGCTGGAGTTGGCACTGAGAACACTGACTTGATACTTGCCCAGGTTGAAGGTGGGGGCAGTGGGCTCACCTAGCATTACCTGGCGGCTCAGGAGGGTAAGTAGCCAGCCGGGAGGCCAAGGGGGTAGATACCTCCTCCACATTCACGCTCTGGAGTCACAGCCTCAGACACCCTGGGTGGGCAGAGTTTGTTCTACTTTTTTTTTTTGAGTTGCAGTCTCACTCTGTCGCCCAGACTGGAGTGCAGTGGCCGCTCCCGGCCACCGCAGCCTCGACCTGCTGGGCTCCGGCGATCCTTCCGCCTCAGCCTTCCAAGTAGCTGGAATTACAGGCGCGCGCTACCACGCCCAGCTGATTTTTTTGAATTATTGTAGAGATGAGGTCTCGCCAAGTTGCCCAGGCAGGTCTCGAACCCGTGGGCTCAGGCGATCCACTCTCCTCAGCCTCCCAAAGGCGCGGGATTACAGGCTGAGCCACCGAGACCAACTTTTTTTTTTTTTTTGATTTGGCATCTCACTCTGTCACCCAGGCTGGAGTGCAGTGGCACACTCCCGGCCACCACAGCCTTGACCTGCTGGGCTCCGGCGATCCTTCCGTCTCAGCCTTCCAAGTAGCTGGAACTACAGGCGTGCGCTACCATGCCCGGCTAATTTTTGATTTATTGTAGAGATGAGGTCTCGCCAAGTTGCCCAGGGGGGGTCTCGAACCTGCGGGCTCAGGCCATCCACTCACCTCGGCCTCCCAAAGTGCTGGGATGACAGGCTGAGCCACCGAGCCCGCCCTAGAACTTGTTCTACTTCTAAAGCTGCCCCTCCCAGGTAGAGGCCGACTATGGGGTCCACTGCCGGGGGGAGGGGGCAGTAGATGACTCTGGTGGGAGCTGATGGAGAAGAGGTCCAGAGAAGTGGACACAGCTGGCCTTGGCGGTGGCAGGTAGCTGGGGTCTGTGAGAGGTACGGTGAGGGAGGACAGTGGTGTAAGTGTTTCTGGCCCTGGTTCTAACTGGAACCATCTTCCTCAGGCTGGCAGAGACCATGGAGGTGCCCAGCTCATGCCCCTTCCTGAGAGGAACTGGCTGGACAAGTGGGAACAAAACGGCTGCCTCTTCCTGGGGTGCTTCTGGCAGCATCCAAGCCTCAGGTCCCCCCCCGGGACTCTGCCCCAGAAGTCGGGGTGTGCTCCTGGCTGTAACCTTTCCCCCGCCCTCCACTCATTCTGGGGCTGAGGTTTCCCCCACAGGGGGTGGGGAAGGGGCGTGGACGGTGGTCTATCAAGACGGCCCTCAATGGGGTCACTTCCCAAGTGAAATGTGAGTGGGGTGGAGTGGGGAGGGGGGGTTCCTAGGAGCGGAGGAGGCTGCCTCATCCGTAGGAACAAAGGAAAAGTCGGTTACCAGCTGCTCTGACGTCTCAGCCTCTTTAGCTCAGACCCAAAATAGCCCAGTCCGGATGGCAGCCCCCAGAGCAGGCAGAGAAGCCTTGGCCAGGAAAGCCCCCCACTCACAGTCACAGGCCTCTTTCCTCGTGACTCCTCACTAACTCTGTCCCACCTTGGCCCTGGAAGTCACATCGGAAGCTCCGCCCCCTTGGCAAGAGCCCAGTCCTGGCTGGGCCTTGACCCCTCAGCTCTTGGGTGGTGATTCTGACCCGGCCCCTCCTGACTGGGGATGACTCCGTGGGGGACCTGCAGGAGGGCCTCCGTCACCCCACGCCTACCACGTCTGCTAGCACGCGAGAGGCCCGCTCCCCTGCTCTTTTTTTTTTTGAGTTGGAGTCTCACTCCGTCTCCCAGAC